TGCTTGTAGCTTTATGCCACAGCTGGTTAACATGTTGTTGATTGCATTTTGATAACTACTGATTTGAAAAAAGGGGATCCTAATACAGCATGTACTGTTGTATATGTTTAACTGTTTTTGTTGCTGGATGTGGTATTGAATTCTTTTCTTTCAATTTGATGATAGATAAAAGTTAGGAAAAGATATACAACTAGCCGTTCAGTGTGCTTTCTGTAAGACTCGGGTTTGTTCAGTATGTTCTTCTTTAGCTATGCAGAGAATGTTGACTGCATTTGATTCTGGGAAAATCAATTTTTTGTTCCAAATGTTTGCTTTGTTCTTTGTATACAGGCTGATACGCATCATGACACTTCTACTCTACCCATTGTGATTGTAATAAACTGTATACTCTCAGTTTTAAAAAGTGTTCTTACTACTTCTGATAGTAAATTCAAATTTTAACTTATTAAGAAAAGTCTATATATAATAAACCATCAGAAAGTTTGATAATTGATAAATTTTGCCAAAAGCTTTTTATTGATTAATGTGACACCAGAGAACAGTCCAATTCAAAAGTTTTTTGTAATGTATATATTGTTACGTCTCTGGTCGTTTGTTAATTTCCGGTATAAATTCTTCCCGAGGAACTTCAGCGATACAAGTCCTTTCTTAAGTAAAACTAGTTTATTCTTTCTCAATTCGACTTTGCAATACACTTAATTTCCACAGTCACTTTAACTTAAACACACGCTATAATTCACAACGATTCACACACTTAAGACTTGACTCGATTATCTGACTCTATATCTCCCTATCTGCAATCATCTCCGTTTATTTGCTGGGCTTATATATTAAAATAGAGGGCGCCTGGAAAAGACTAGAGTTGCCAAGAAAAGTCATGATCCTTGTAGAAACTCATGACGTATTACCAGTGTCACGTGACTTCCGCTGTCTTAACAATATAACTAAAAACAACTACAAAGTTGAGTATTTACATTATAGATATTACAATAATATAACACCACATCCAACAATTGATATTTTTCAATAAAAGAATTGAAACCACATTGTATTTTGTATTTACTCTAAAGGTATTAGGTTTGGCTGTTAGGAGAAGTATTTGGAGACCAGCTTTAATTTTTATTCCATGTCATTGGAACATGTGCTTAAGTGTGATTTGTTAATATTCATTGAAATTAAACTATGGTTTTTGTCAGTTTGATTTAAATTTATTGGTCATGAAAAAGTTGGGAAAGTTAGTATAATCTTCTCTGTGGAATCACTGAGTTTACCAAACTTCGAGCTATCTGATGTCTTCTCCTTGAGGAAAATTTATGTAGCTTTCAAACAGGTATAGTTTTATACACAAATACCTTCACAATGAAAGGAATTGAAAGGAAAGTTTATAGAAACTTACTCTATTAATGCATGGTAGTCTAATTCTTCCTCTATCCAATCATATTTAAATTTTCTTTATAGCTGATAAAAAAATCAATACATGATATTTGATAAACAGTAATGATATTCCAAAAGAAAGAATAAAGAAATATCAAAGCTCATTAGATGAAGTACTTATATTAAGAAATTTTCAAACATATGATTCATGAATGCTGAAATTATTGTTAAATGTTGTTAGAAATCCATTCTTTGAGACATTTACTCAAAAGGGGGAATCCAGGATGTTTTAAGGGGGTTCCAACTAGACCTTTGTTAGCACTACTGATAAATGTATATTGCTTTCATTGTTTTTTTTTACTTATAACAACACACTACTAGTAACTATGGTAATAAAATCAATTAGAAAGCCTACAAATTCATTATGAGTGAGTCGTATGGGCTATAATCCTACAATTTTAAAGGTTATATCTTTATTACTGGTAACATGATTGATATGAAAATAAAAATAGTTAAAGACAATCATTTCAAATTTTGTAAATAAAATTAAATGGCTATACTTATATTTAGGAAAAAATTATAGAGTCTATGCTTAAATTCATATCTTGGCATTTGTAAACAGGATGTCTTGTTTAAAAATTTTTTTCATGTTGTCACTTGCACAGTCATAACACTTGTGTTTTTGCTTATTTTGGACATCAACAATATGAAAACATCTTTCTTGTGAGTTTTATAACTTTCAAGCAATGAGAAATAAATTTTGTAATAAGCATATGCTATAATAGCTAATGGTATCTTAAGTAAAACAATTGTAAATAGTTCTTGTGCTACTAGTCTTGATGGTGAAACTTGGCTTAAATAAGTTATTGTTTTTATTATTATTATGTAAAAGAGTAGCCCAAGAGTTGGCGGTGGGTGGTGATGACTAGCTGCCTTCCCTCTAGTCTCACGCTGCTAAATTAGTGATGGCTAGTGCAGATAGCCCTCGTGTAGCTTTGCGCAAAATTCAAAACAAACAAACTTATACTAAATAAAAAAATACAGTTATGCAATCATAATTTAGAAACGTAACACAGTATAAAAAAACAGTAATTTACACTTTCAGTACAATTCAATGTGGATGACTATTGATAAATATCTGATCTACTTAATTACATAGTAATAGTAATATTTATTTACATCTGACAAACATTTACATGACTAAAGCTGCTCTGACAGATGTCAGCACCACATTGTGTTAGTCATTTAGTATTACGGTTAACTCTAACAGAGTGTGAGTTGACATAAGTTTTATGACAGCTTAAATAAATGATGGAGGAAAAGGTAGGCAAAATATGAATTTATATATATCTAATAGCCAAGTGTCTGTTTATTACACACTATATCTCCCAGACAATTAATTATAGAAAAAACTATCAATATACTTATTTTCAAGAGTACATTACAGGAAAATTATTCAGTTTTTGCAGTTCTTAAACTTTCATAACAATATCAACATTAATCCATCAGCCTTCATATGTGCTGACTAGTCAACTTATTAAGAACAAAATTGTTTCTTTTTGTAAGCCACAAAAAAATGGAACTTCCTCGGTTGACTGATTGAAAGAAATATTTTGAAGATAGGAGCATAAATAGAAAAAATGTGTAAGGAAAGGAATGTATTTGAGTATATATATATTTGTTGTTTAGTTTTTCAGGTAAGTATTTATTTACATGCATAATTATATTGTACCATGTCAAATAAATTGATTGAATATCTCCCCTTTGACACTTATAGAAATGACAACTGTCAAAAAGTGCTCACTTTGGTAGCAGTCTTTTCTTGCACTCAGTAAAATGACAAGGAATGGTGGCATCTAGTGGAATCATTCCTCTGGCTACTTAACAAACCTGAGCGCTCTGTTGTGCTCGATGCATCCATTGCATCAAAACCAAACATTTTTGCCAACAGTCAGTCTCCTTTGTTAAAAACCAATGCAATGCAATTTTCGTTATTCAAATAATACAGGGAATGATGAAATATGGTTGGAAACAGCCTACTAGACAATCATATTGCATATAAGCTCTGATCCAAAGGACATTTTTTATTTATTTATCACTATTTTTAGGAAACTTCCCATTGAATTGCTTCAATAGGCATCTGCTAGTATAATATTAATTAACAATGATAAAGTAATACTCTCTCACAGATATAATTACAAATGCCCAATAAATTTGGGAAACAAGCTGTATAAGTTCTCTGTTCCTGAATTCTGAAATTGTACTAATAATACATAACATAATGTGACAACATGGGACCTATTGGTCCATCTCAGCTGTTCCATCCTCTAAACTAAAACTATTAATAAATATATTGAAAAAAATATCTTAAAGCCAACCCTTATTCATTTACTTACCAAGCTTTTAAACTCACTCAAATTTACTGCCTCTACAACATCTGAAGGCAACCCATTGTAAAGGCCAATCACCCTGTTAAATAAAACTGTATTCAATGAAGATGACTCCTACCCTGCCAAAATTTATACTTATGTTCCCTAGTCCTACTATTCTCACTGTTAAGTATGAAAAAAAGATGATGTATCAACTCTATCAATTCCTTTTACAATCTTAAAAACGTCAATCATATACCCTCTAACTCTTCTTTTTTTTTCAAGAGAAAACAATTTGAGAGATTTCAGCCTCTCCTCATATGACAACTCCTCCATCCCAAGCACCATTCTAGTAACCCTTCCAACAATTCAATGTCTTTCCTAAGGTAAGGAGCCCAAGACTGAACACAGTATTACAAATATGGCCTAACCAGTGACCTATACCATGAAATTATAACCTCTTTAGACTTGTATTCAATATTTTTGTAGATACAACATAAAATCATATTTGTCCTACCACTAACAATAAATAGAACACTGTTTTGGATGGCTTTTAGAGACTGATCAACTATTACATCAAGATCCCTTACTTTCATTCTAAACTAAATTCTAAACTTTGTTAAATGACTTTGCAAAGCATCTTTGATCAGACTTTCCAAAACTTTTCTCACAACTGATGCAAGACTAATAGATCTATAATTACTGGTTTAATTATTATTATTACCTTCCTTGAAAAGAGGAGTTACATTAGCTAACTTCTAATCCTCTAGTACCTGCCCACTATTCAAGGATGACAAAAAATAATGGCAAGTGGCTCACATATCCAATCTTTAACCTCCTTCAAAACCCTTGGGGAAATATTATTACAATTGTTTAGAAAAGTACAAGTGTCACTAAAATTAGAAAAAAATTTCCAATGATCCGTAGCATTATTAATGATTACCTTATCTGTAACATAATTTTAATAAAAAAATTTAAACAAATGATTTATTAAAGATTCAGTTATTGTAACTGGGTAACTTGTTGTATTATCTAAAAAGAATTATTAGTTAGATTTTACATTTATTCACGGTCCAAAGAAGTCCAAATTAATGTTGCAAAAAATTATTTTATGTATTTGTTGGAGTCAAGGTCTTTCCAAGACTTGGAAAATTGGAGGTGTTATGTAAAAAGTGAAAACAGAACTCCAAACTTTGGAGGTGAAGTATGAAGGCACTTTGTCTAATTGTGTGACCCCTATTATAATTCTGTTTCTAGAGTCGTGCACCAATATCAGCCAAGCTTGTAGCAAACATGCTTTCTGTGTCAGGAGCAGACCACATTATCACGATGGACCTCCATGCATCACAGATTCAGGTAGCTATCATATAACTCGAGATTGAAATAATGTAGTGTAAACTGCCATTTTAATTATGTATTTCATTACCAAGTTGAAGGTGAAACTTAAATGTTACTCAGTGACATTCATTTTTAAAATATAAATAGTTTGTGATATTAGCATGGGAGGAAAACATCTGGCATGAAACCAGTCTTAAAATGTGAGATAATGGTTAAAAATAAATATTTGTAATTAAACAGAAGAATGTTTTCATGTTTCATTAAATAACTTATTCCAAACTGTTTACTGTGAGGAAAGTTTTATAAAAGTTTCAACAACAAAAGCATTTTTTGTTAGAAAAACTAACATATTTGTATACCTTGATTTCGATCATGATCATGAACACTGATATGCAGTTTATATTTGACTTTAATCATGTACACAAAAGCTGACATCTTCCTGTAGTTTGTATAGACCTTGATCATGTACATGAAAGTTGACATATCTGTGTGGTTCATCATGACATTGATTATTAACATAAACTGACATCAGTATAGTTCATCTTGACCTCAATCATGTACATGAAAACTGACGTCTGTAAGTTTCTTCTTGATCTCGAAGTAACATGTATGGTTTACCTTGATCTGGCATATCTGTATGATTTATCTTGACCTCAGTCATGCACACAATGATACAAAAATTGTTTAAAAATTCACTAATTTTGCAGAACATGTATGGAAAGCAATGTAAATGGATGTTGTTGAGTGAACTTTCCAATAATATCATGAAACTGTAGTTATATGATAAAGTAAAATATGAATCTATCCAAAATGTTTAATTGCATTTATTAACTACTAGCTAAAACAAGCTTTTGAATGATACATGGTCATTTGTTGTTTTAACAGTGCTGCTACACTATTACTTACCAAAAGCACAATACTTACTTCATGAGTACATATTCCTGCTGCTGTTTTTAAATCATAGTCATCCAGTATTATGCAAACAGGTTCAAGAATATATATAGATGAAGAATCTGACAGCTCAAAGCACGAAAATATTACTTTTTACTTCATCTTGATGAGGAGTTCACATATTTAATCACAATTTGTGCTTCAGATATATCAATCCTTTCATCTTTGGAAACAAGTATTATTTATCTTCATTAAGAATGATGTTTCTTCAAACAACAAAGAAGACATCTCCCATTTTTCTATCATAAAATTTGTACTTAGAGTTTATATGTTCATTCAGAACATGATTTCTGATTTAGCTTCTTTTTATATTTATGTATCATTCATTCAGGGACAGAAACTTGTTTGTTGCTATATATTATTCACATGTTATTTGTTAGTATTTTATGACTTACTATACGATCCTGATACAGCTGATTCTGTTGTTGAGTACTGATAATTTGAAGTTTTTCACTTACATTTAGTCTTTTTCTTGTGTGTGTATGTGTATTTTGTTTTTTGAAATGTAAATTCAGAAATGTTACTCACCTCTCCACAAAACAGATAGCCAATACTTCGTAATGTTACTGAATATTTTTTGTCATGTGCCAAATCTTTGAACATAACTCCCATCCCTACACATAACAACTTGTACTGCATTTTTCTGTGATGTAATCAGCATTAAACTCTACTCCTACACCAATAGAAGGGTGACATTCTCCATACATAGTACTCCTCTTGAGCACTTGTGTTTACCAAAAGCTCGTTCTTTTCTTCAACACTGCAGTGTTTAGTTGTTTTTGTTATTAAGAATTCCGAAAAGATTGTTCTTATTATTTTCAACTTTTAGTTAACATTTGAGGTGTTATTTTATACACTTTCATTTTCTTAATTTTGGGAAAGAAAGACTTAAATTTCAGTTAGAACTGATACAAATTATCTTATCATAACTTGTCTTCTTTTGTGTTGAGCAAACGACACTAGTTTGGGACACATGTCCCAGTCTGTTATGTTTTTCTTAACTAGGATATTCCCATCATTATTAATCTGGTGTTTGGTTTCAATACTTAATTTCAATTTAGTCAACATGAAAATGACCAATATACATACCATGGACATACAAGACTTACTTAAAAAAGTCAATAATATTTGTAATTTCTGTGAATTCAGTTTCATGGATTCTATTTAATATGACCTCCCATATCGATATTTCTGAATCTCTTAAGATGCAGACATTCCTTTATAGGAATCATCTTATTTTCTATAAATGGCAACTGGAGTTACTCTGACAGTGAGCAATGTTACCACCATTATATATCATGTGGTTGGTTCTGTCCTACATAATTCACCTAGGACCAAGGACTCATGACCTCTTGTCTCTTTAACTTCTACTGAGCCTGCCTAGTTTTTGGATGGCTTTGACCAGCTCTTCCTGCAGCCTGCCTTTGCTTCTGATTCTTCAATCACTGACAAAGAACTGGTAACATCTACTCTTATCCTTTTCTGCTCTGATAACTCTGGTTCTTCAATCACTGACAAAGAACTGGTAACGTCTACTCTTATCCTTTTTTGCTCTGATAACTCTGGTTCTTCAATCACTGACAAAGAACTGGTAACGTCTACTCTTATCCTTTTTTGCTATGATAACTCTGGTTCTTCAATCACTGACAAAGAACTGGTAATGTCTACTCTTATCCTTTTCTGCTCTGATAACTCTGGTTCTTCTATCACTGACAAGGAACTGGTAACATCTACTCT